AGGCAAACTGCACTCTCTGACTTTGAATTTCAACAAAAGCGAAAATTAAATACGTAATATAAGGTTTATTTGTTGTTCTATCACTTTCCATTGTACTTGGTTTTTAGAAAATGACTTCTCATCATATTCGGACCGCTCCAAATGACATCAGTCTCTTCTCCTTCCTTTGAAACACGTAAGAGAAGACTGTCACCTGACTGAAGTCAGGAATATTCTTCGATGATGTCAAAATTTAATTTATAAATAATATAATTATATTCAGGCAAAACTCAAAGTATAATATTAAATTTAAAATATGCCCAGACAAAGTTAAATTTGAGTTTTGCCTAGGCAAATTTAAAATTTGTCTGAATTTGAGTTTTGCCTGCAACATATATACTTCATTTAGAATAATTCAGCATTCTTTTTAATTAGTATATTTAAAAACAGCTTATTAATTAAGATAATCTATATTCTAGTTCTAGTTTTATTTTTCGACGAAACAGGAACAGCTAAAGCTTTATTTTTGACAAAACGGGAACACTAGAAAATAATGTTTTCGACGAAACTGGAATATTAATTAAGCTGTGTTTCTATCCGATGCCATGGCTAAGCTACGAAATATTAAGAGGTTTCTTAGTGCTCATTTTGAAGAGGACACTTTGGACTATCTATCCATGAAAGAAAACGGAATGTTTGTATCGCAACCAACCTGCTTTTTCAAAGATCTCAGTGACAATCAATAATCTTGAAGAATTTTGAAAAGTTTTCTTCCATAGAATAACGTGCTCCGATCTTGGCTATCGAATGAGAAAATTCGAATGTCTCTAGCTCCTTCCTTTCAAACATTATTCGAAAAACAGTGGTGTGCCTTTTAATTTGGAATGAATAATAGTTCCATAACACTGTTGGTCTATATATTCAAGGAAATGTTTATATTGTGAGCATCTTATGCGATGATAAATTTGATATCAATATAGAATAATTGCAACTTAAACATTTTTGATAATAAAACTTAAGTACGTGTCGGTTGAAAACAGAATACATCAAAGACTATGTACAATGTACATTTTAACTATGATCTCAACATAAAAACGACAAGGGTTACCAATTTTAAATGACCACTTGTAAATAGCGAACAAGTTAAGTTATATGAACATGTTAAAATGTCTTTGATATATTTCTTAACATTTGATTTCCTGGATCTTCCGACCTTGTTATATAGTTGTATGAAATAACAATTTGTTCATCTACAGATTGAAGGAGAGCTATTTGTAGTGAAGTATATTAAAAAAGAAATTTTTTCTAAGATATACCATTGACACGCGTACACACACACACGCACACAAAAATAGATATAAAGTGTAAATATAAGAGTAGTACAAAACAAAAAACTGAGATCGTATAATACATACAGAGAAAAAAAAAAGCTATTTATCTACAATGACACGAATCAATAATCATATCTGGCAGTAATCGAATGAAATAATTTTGTTCTGAACTTTTGTAAAATACTGGTAATGACGAATATTTTTCGGGATTACAACAAATTGCTGGTAATTGAGTATCACTACGAACACCTAATCGACGTATCATACTTTGTAATAGAGCATGATTTGTCGATTTACCTGACTAAAAGCAAATATTAAAGAAACAAAAAATACGCAGTTAATGAGCTGAGATATTTAACTTACTCTAATATGTTGAAATTCACATGATCCCGAGCATAAATTGGCCATATATCGTTTTGGTTCAATAATCCAGTCGGACCATCCAATATCGGAAAAATCGACAGCAAATGATTTTACAGAACATTTTTGATCTTGAAGTAAGAAAGATGTTAAATATTTGCTTGACTCCTTTGTTAAATCAAAGTCAGGTAATAAATTATTATCTGGTGTTGTTGCTGTTGTTGTTATTGTTGAAAGTGCTCGCGTTGTATTAGTTGAATAACGTTGATAGCGACTGTTTATCGAATTGAGTAATTTTGATACAGAACGCTTTTTTCGAGCCAACTGTAAAATATCGCCATAGGCAAAGTAGTCAGTTATCGGTGCCATCCTTACTATACTAAAAGACAAACAAACAGATATTATTAACAGAAACTACACAAACTTACTCATTCGAGTATTACTTTTGTTGTTGTTGTTCTCCGTTGTTTCGTTTTCTCACATCTTTTTCAAAATCTTCATAAATAGACGCTGATTTTTCTAAATTCGACGGAATAAATTCTTCAAATACCGACTCGGATTTTGAATCATTTGAATAGACAACTAGAAACGGTGTATAGACACTAAACTTTTGTAAATAAGGTATTTCTTTTGATTGTCCATCTTGTTTAATAATAAATGGTTTTAATGTTAAACCAAAATAAGAATTATTTTTTGAATATTGTATTGTACGTGCGAGAACATCTGTGATAGGAAAATTTTGCCAACCGATTACAAAATTGTCAAGTAAAATTTTTCCAGAAATAGATGAGTGATGATTGATTGAATAAATTTCACTGATTTCATAACGAATGGTATATTTTGTACGACGTTTGTATAGATGTAATTCTGCACTCGTCACACTTTCTGAACGTTTAATGACATTTAAATCAAATATAAACTGTGTGACATTGTTTAATTCAACTAAAATGCATAATTGAAAATAAATTTACTCTATGATAGGGTTTTCTCGATCTTGAAATGTGGCATAGTTTTAGACAATAAAGAAACGCTAACGATACTCGTTTTTCTCGTTAGACGTGTGCAACTGGACCTGTATCCGTACCCGACCTGATCCGAAGGTTGGGTACGGGCAGAGCAGTTACGGGTACGAGTTCTATTTCTTTTTAATTTACCCGAAAACCGGGAGATTCTAGTGGAAAACCCACAAAATTTTTATTGAAAAAATACAGGATTTTAGCTAAAATACATGAAGGTTTAAAAAGAATTACTTGAGAACGTAATCATAATTTGACATCTTCACCCGAAAAACAAAAGCTTTTAGCAGGAAAACAAAAAGAAGAAACTTTTTAGGCATAAGTCGGGTACGGATACAGAGTTCTCGGATCGGGTCGAGTACGGGTGGAAAAGAAATTTTCGGGTCAAGTACGCATTCTCTCTCTCTCTCTCTCGTTGTATTCCTGTTTTTATAAGTGCGAGTAAAAAAAGATTGGACGCATTGAAACAGCAGCGCGCACGTTATCTGGCTCAAAACACCAAACAAGTGAAAATTATTTTGGTGATTTTAGATGGCACAAATGTGAAAATTATAGTTAGCATAAAATTTTCACTAAAAATACCCGAAGTAAACTAAACACGTTAGTTTTCTTCCAACAAAAAAACTGTAAAAGTTGGAAATAAAGAAATATGGTTAGGATCATTAGAGCTTGTTTTAGTTGAAACTGTCATAAAATTCGTATACAACGATAATAAACACAAAAGGATGACTTTTGCTGATATTAAACTGAGTTTGGGATTGTGATCATCCGTTGTCTCAATTAACGTGCGATTCTACTCAGAATAAATAGCAGATTGCTGATCAGTTTATAGTGATAATAGCTATAATCTTTTAGTGAACGTCTGTGAGGAATTATATTTTCAATTTTTCATAATTAAGCCGAGCAGATGAAAATCTTCGAAGGCTTATTCGTTTCATTACGAAAACTTCTTCTTTCTCCTTTCTTGTAAATACCACTTTTTGTTGTTAGTCAGCTACAGAGGTGGGCGATGAACAATCTTTAGCGCCCTTGCGGGGATCGCCTCGCTGACTTCCTGCCTAATTATCGTCCCATATCTCATCAAGTTTGAGAAATCTACTTTGCGGAGATCGCCTCGTAAGTTCTCGGCCGATCACCTATTGATTCTAGATACTAGGAAAACAGAAGAACAAATAAAAAAGGTTAGAAATAACCTTTGCAATAAACAACTGTTAGAGCTTTAACTTCCACTTGAGGAAACGTTGTGTGTGCGGTAGATGTCATCTACTGAAAAAAAAAATTTTTCAATTGAATTGAAAAGAATTCTGTCCAGCGTCTCCATTTCGTCCTCCACTAACAAGGAAAAAGTGTTCCTCCCGAGGTTCACCTCGTGCAGTTCTTGCCCCGTCAGGCTTTGAAAAAATCTTCCTTGCGGAGATTCTCGTCCACCGTCTACCTCTGGTCAGCCACCCGTTCTTGGCTATCCCTTGTCCTAGATGTTCAGCACAAAAACGGGTGGAAAGAGGAACAGTTGTAGATAAACATCTGCAGCGATTTCATCGATATATATTTTAATTATCTTATCATTAGTGTCTAAACTTGATATACTTTTTAAAGATATTGTTTTTTTCTGCAGAAATAATTAAGCTATGGTCTGGCAGCTAAACATCGTTTTCAAAGCGAGAGAGATAAAAAACGAAATAGAAAAGAAAAGAAAATGCCTTTATGTTAGTAGCCTTACGTAAAAGCAGGACTAACGGACTCTTATAGAGAGAACCATATGGTATCTAAAATGTCTCTAATAAAGGACGTTTCACTCGGTCGGCTTTTCAATTTGCCCACATAGTAGTTGACATCTAGTAACTTAATTCTTATCAAAATGGCTTATTATATGGGCTACAAGCTAATCTATTTGGAACTACTGAAAACTAACTCTTATCACATTTGTGCCATCTAAAATCACCAAAATAATTTTCACTTGTTTGGTGTTTTGAGTCAGATAATGTGCGCGCTGCTGTTACTTTATTATGGGAGACTTTCATACTAAACTTAATATTCAAATGCGTATTTAAAAATTTAAGGTAGATCACGGACTGAACTGTCTGACATTGTCTTTTGAAGAAGATACAAAACTCCTAAAAAATAGCACGAACATCATTATTTTAACTCATTTTTTAAAATAACAAAGAAAATAGTTCGAAATAAAATTTTGTTTATTACATAATACTTAAATATAATTTATTTAAATTAACAAAAATTGGCCTTCATAATTACAGCTCAATATGATGCAGTACTGAACACAGCACTTACTTATTTGATTTTATTCGCATTACTGAAGGTCAAGTTCGTTTTATTTACATTTTTTCCCGTCAATCATCACGCGTACTTTATGATATGGTCACACTTCAAAAAATTAAAATAGGTGGACTAGTTTATATGTATATATCAAACACATCATAAAAAAATTGTTTCAAGTACTATTAAGAAATTATAGTATAGGACGATAATGATTTATTCAAGCAGAAGTAAAATACGTTATAAACACACACTCAACGAAGAATAAGTGGTGCTGATATTGGAGATAAAATATAATTTTTCGAAAAAGAAATGTTAAACTTTGAGGGATAATTTGTTTGAATATGAACAATATACAATGACTTTTAGCAAGAATAAATTTCTTATATTTGAATAACGTACGATTATCGTATATTATTATATAGACGTATCGTTCTATTATAGTACGATAGAGTAATAGACATCGATGGATGAGGATTATCCATATTTATTTTATCATCAAACAAAACATTGAAAGATTTCGGAAAAAGAATCCAAAAAATATTTTCGTTACACCTTATTCTACATTAGAACGAGCTAAACTTTCTCTCAAATTATTCTATTCTATTGTAAGTGTAGTCACTTAAAATTTTACTATCTGTACATTATACATTTTATTACTCTAGAACAATGTCAACAAGTATCACTTGGTAAATAAAATAAGTTTACTTTTTGATAACAATAAATGTCTATTGTCTGTTTTATTGTCTTATATAATAATATATATTTCATGTGATATAAATCTAGACTATTGATTATTAAAGGTATCTGGTAGATACTCTCAATATTGACAAAAATAAAATAGAATATTCAACAATTAACTATGATTAATTTTAAAAATTTTTGATAATCATCTTTGTCAATAAAGCAATATGACAGTGTCCTTTTCTTTATTTTAAAACTGTTCTAATTGATGATAGTTTGCACATCGATTTGACTTAGAATTTATAAATTATATTATACTTTGTATGATAATATTCGACGAACGGACAATTACTAACTATAATTGCTCAATCATGATCTCATTCTTCACATATAACAAATAGGACTTTAAGCTCATATAAATACGTTCTGATTATAGGCGCACACACACACACACACGCACAATTAAATGATGAAGAACAGATTTAGTTTAGTCCCGATCAATTGATCATGAAGATATTATACAGTATCAATCAAAATATTTTTATGCTTGTATAAACGTTAATTCTTAACAATTATCAGACACATTATATATGCAGATAGCTGTCTTTTAAGAAAAAAAGTCATTTATTATATTAAACAGTTTGCAGTCTATACGTCTACTTTTATGTTACTATCTAAAGTAGTGACTGATTTTTGTTGAAACATTCTTTTTTTTTATTTTGTTTCTATTGTCATACTCAAATCTTAAATTTGGCTCACTGAGTTAATTCTAGATCGTTATTAGAACTACTAGCAGACACTCCCTTTCAACTGTTAATTGGGTCTTCTCTATCTAAAAGTATAAGTTGCTGTATTACATCAATTTTTCTCTATTGCATGCTTTTTAAATATAACCGTACGCTTAATATTTAGTTTTTCTTTATCATGAAAGAATGAGTTTATTAAATGGAATCGACTAATTAATGATAAATACCTCAAAAAGTTAAGCAGAAAATGAATGACTGCAACTCTATACATAAACACGCGATAGAAAAGGAAGGCACTTAAAAACGACAATGTATACAATTCTCTACTTAGAAATGTCGTGCGTAAACACTAAAAGGAGAACTTAATAAATCAAAGAATGGAAACCGACATCTTAAAAAAAGGTTCCATACAAAACAAATTTTTTGTGCATACATATAATTTGTAAACGAGAGATAAAATACAGTCTGATGATAATAATCAGTGTGATAATTGAACAAAACTCGTCAAAAAACAAAAACCATGATGTAAAATTATGTGACTTGCCATTTTGACAGTGAAACTAAAAAATTCTCTTTAAGATTAATAAAATGAATCATAAATCAAAATAGGGATGGGACAGTTCCAGTTCCTAAAAACTGATCACTAGTTCAGTTCTTGTTGAATGCGAACTGCTTGCCAGTTCTTTTCAAAAGAACGGGAACGGATTACTAGTTCTTTTCAAGAAGTCAAAGTAAAATAAAATCGTTTCAGCTAGTTGTATTGACTTCGTTTAGTCAACTAAACACACCATCTACCTCTGACACACTACACAAAGTCATGATGTAACTGGGTTTACCAGTTTTCTTTTATTTTAAATTTTTGAAACGAACTTATAAGCAGTTTGCGTTCAACAAGAATTGAACGAGTGACCAGTTCTCGTACAAAAGAACTGAACTGGAACTGTCCCATCCCTAAACCAAAATAGACGAATTGAAAGTTAAATTTTTGATGTAAAAAATCAACCGTGAGAAATAATGTTACTTATAAAATAAAAAAAAAAACCGAAGTATTATTCTCATCGGTTACTTTTTGTTGTTTTTTTTCTTTAATACTTCTATACAAATGAAATGCGCTCATCTTCTTTTTTTCATCCAAAGTTTAATAATCTGATAATTTAGCTCTAATACTACTACTACTACTACTCTCTTTATATTATACCGATATGTATATCTATGTATTATATCCATTTGAAATATATATCTCATTTGACATCACAACGAGCAATGTTCATTTGAAGGTAAATTTTGAATAAGATAGGAGATTATTATTAATGACATAAAATCTAATGGATATCAAAAATAAACCTATAACTTACTTAATTTTGGTGCAATTGCTCGAATTGTATTTCCATTTCGAAATATATATTTTGATGTCGACAAATGATAATTTGTTTGATCATAAATTGATTTCATATAATCAATGAGTGATGTGACATCTAATTGTGTCGTTTGTTTTCGTTCATTAGTCGATGATTTTAAAATCGAAAATGGTAATTTTAAATCAGAT